TGTGTGTTTGCCAGAATATTGGACCGTGTTAGCACAGGGTCCCCTGCCTCCTAGCTGTTTATGCCAGCACACCCACAGTTCCTGGTTTGACTTTGGGATTTGAATACCCTGTGCGTGTGTGTGTTGCTCAGACTGACACAAACAAGCATATTGTCTTGCTTAAACTCTGAATTCCGTTCAGTAGTAGGCCTCTCTTCTGGATATATAAAGCTGCCTTATTCATCTTTTCGGCTGATTAAACCTTTTGCTATGATAAATATAATGCAAACTTCTTCTGTAAGTGGTGTGAAATTCATGGATTTCTAAGTTATTACTACTATATAAAGGGTGTCTATTTTGTTTTTTTGTTTTTAAAGGTTGTCCTCTAGTTGCAGAAGCTCTCCAAACACAGTAACTTGGGAAAAAAATCCTCATGATTCTCATATTCGAAGGTGTAAAGTTTGTAGGCAGTTGTACTGTCACTTCAGTACATTGACTGTACATTAAACTTTGAAGAGAAGTGTTGCTGATTTGCTCTGTGTCTGCACACAAGTCTAGAGTGATGCTGAAAGGTTTACATTTCTGCATTTCATTTTCCATTCAAGCTATCTTTAATTTTATCAGTGAAAAGGAGCCATGTGAAAGCTGATCACCATAGTAGTCTAGCTGAACGCTTTAAGATTTGGTAATACTCTAGGCTGCTCAAAGAAGCCGAAGGGAAACGCTCAGCATTGAGCGTTGAGCTTCTCTGGGGCCTTTCAACAGAGTACTTTCTGGCCCTCTTTTGAGTAAGAGGAGAAAATAAGCTTATTCCTGAAATGAGTATCTCTGTTCTTGGCAGATCTAAATCTTTTTGTGACTAAAACCTTTGGGGCTGTATTCATCCAAACAAAACCAGGGAATAATCTTAAATCTTATCTGACTTTGTTTTTGAGCATCCAAGACAAATTTAAATTGTCCTTTTTAGTGCATGGAATATTAAGCAAGAATTTGTTTTGTAATTTCTGCCCATCTTTAATGACTAAAGACTTCCTCTCAAAAAGCTTCGTTTATAGGGATTGCACCCTGTGATATAATCAACAACCCATGTCTCTGAATGGAAGATGAGAACGTCTAATTATTTCCACCCATACATTCTTTGCCTTTCACACCCATTTCACAGCCACAAAGGAGGCAATGACATTCACAAAGTCTGTTACTTCAGCGTGTGGGCAGGGAGGAGTGGCATGTAGCGGTTTAAGGTGATGAATATATGCTATTCTTTACCATCTTAGCTAGGCCTGGCCTTTAATTTCCTTCCTGCTTTACAGTGCATAACAATAGGATGTCTCTAATTACAGGCTTTTGTGGATGGTATTTTCATTACATGTGAGTGACTGATATGATAAACCATACTGTTATTTCTATTGCAGATAATATTAAAAATATATATTTCAGGGGATACGTTTAGAGAAGGCTTTCCAAAATGGAGAGACTGAAGTCAATCTTCTAAATCCATATTCAGGCACTGCAAAGCTGGCCTACCGAGTCCTACTAGAAAGAAAACTTCTTTTTTGCAGGGAGAAGTTGTCTTGCTTCAAAGTACGTCCTAAGACGGTATGATGATCGTGGGATGGGTTTTTGTTTGATATTGAAATTCTGACAGATAATGAAAATGTTTCCTTCATGGATAAAGCAAAATGCTTAAAGAGTCTGAGTCACCACTATCAAATCTTCAAGGTTCTCTCTGTACTGCGTCCTGTTTTCCTATACTGATCTGTAGCTGATGACAGATCTGATTTAACGGTTTTTCTTAAAGTCCATGAATGGAACTGCAAACTTCTATTCTCTTATGGTATTTTTTCCCCAAAAGAGAAAAGCTAAAAGTAAAAAAACAAATCAGATCTTGGTATACATATTTAATATTTCATTAAGGGTTTGTCAGCAGAACCTGTGGTCAAGCAAAAGTTTTAATTCACTTTTGCACAGATGGATTGTTTTGGAAAGTTTAAGGGGTTAACTATTAGTTAACTAATAATTGACTCTGTCCAGCATGTGCTGAAGAAGGACATTTTCCCTCAATTTCCTACTAATTTATTTACAGGTTAGTAAATGGAACTTGTATTCATAAGTTTCTTCTTTGAATATGGGAAGTTTCCAGAGAGGCACATTTTCCACGTTCTGATGTGTAACATGTACTGTTTTGGAAGAGTCTGCCATGCTTGGTGGTATCCAACCCACAGCTGTGAAACCAATGTGAATTACTGAGGCTATTTGTGTGCTCAGGTTGGGGGAGGAGGAGATGAGCAAGAAATCACAAACGGACTTGATGTGCCTGTACCTTGTAAATGAACCAAGGTTTGCAGACAAGCAAAAAGCCCCTTGAGTCCTTAATGCCTTTGAACTATCTGTTCTGCTGTTTCCCTGAGTCCAGAGAACCTCCATTTAGACAGTGTTTCAAAGAAAGAATTCGCTGCAGAATAAGCATCATGTATCACATTTCTTAAAATGGCTTTTGCAGAAATAATAAAAATACCTAATTCTTGACTATTTTTAAAGCATATAATAAATTATTTCAGTTGTACCATTAAACTATTACTTACAGCTTCTTCCCTTTTATAAAGCAGATTAATATGGATGGCACTATAAATCGCGCTAAAATATTTTCAGAACTTGCACTTTGTTTAAACAACCAGCTTTGTATAGCCGTGCTATAGCAACAGCTATATAACTCTAGGCTCATGACTGCGTCACAGAGACAGCTCTGAATTTATGCTACACTGTTTATTCCTTGGTAAGACATGGTGATGTTGCTAGGGACATGGGAGCGGGCTTGAATGTCTTTAGTATTATATAGACTTTGATGGACCTTTGTGGTTGTTTTTGGGCTCTTACTGCGGATGAGGTGAAAGATTTGGGGATGCGTGAAAGTTCGGTTGTAAGGAGAGAAACAGTTTGTCTTTGAAAAAGATTTCCCTTCTTATGCTGTATCAAGTTGTGGACCAGAGGGACTTTTGTGAAAGTCCCTTCCTCCATCCTCAAATAGGCCGATCTGTACTAGCTCTGCATAATACAGGTGGCTGGTGTGCTCCTGGAGGGTGTTGGAGAGCTGCATTAAATTCTCTTCTCTGTCCAACTTTGGAATATTTTTGGAGGTCTCTAACCAGTGCATTAGTGTGTCTCTCATCGTTTCCTGTTAGGGTAGACCTATGGTATATGGCCTAGTGAATAGTTGTAGGAGGTCAGGGTGATGGGCAGAGTCTGAATACCTGAATAACTACAGTGCTTGCACTCAAATCTTTTAGTCAAAAGGTTTCCTCTGCCAGTTGTGAAGTCAAAAGGCAGGGGACCCAGGTGGCAACCTCAGCTAGCTCTTGTAGCGAGCAGTGGCTGGCGTGGCACTCGACGCTTCAGAGTGTTGTACGGACAACCTGCGATGTCCAAAGGTATAGGTAACTGCTGCTTTTGGCTTCTGTAGTAAGCAAGTATTGGCACACACAAGCCCCATTCCCTCAGCAAGAAGACAAGCACTAGTTTTCTCATCTTCAGTGAGGCTGGAACTATGCTCACAGTGACGTTCAGCACATCTTAACGTGACTGTGTTGGAATAAATTTGAAGCTGTGCCTTTGTGTGTATTGGGAGGCATAGTTGTTATTTGTGCTTCACGACGGTTAGCCTTATTGCTATTGATCCTGGAAAACTAGTTCATCTAAGAGAGATCAAAGTGAGACCAGTTTGCATTGTTGCAGGAGCATTCCAACTTTACAAATTGGAGGTTTCCTCAGTTTTAGATATTTAACCAAAGGAAGATAATTTTGCAAGACCGGCATGAATCAATCCCCTCCCCGTCCCCTAGCATATAATATTCTTAAAAGTTAAAGGCTTCAGTAGGACATGACTGTGGAAACTGGCAGTGACAACCATTGCTTATGCTGCTTCCAGCAGAACTCTGCTTCTGTACTGAGGATTGTGTTGCCTGTTAGATTGTGCTCCTGCCTTGAGGTCCCCAAAGGGTGGCAGTATAACACAAACACAGCCTGCGCTCCCCAGGCAGTGACTTCCGTGGCATTACAGCTTCTCCTTTTGGTACAGAATAATGGAGTGTGCCTGACTAAGCTTGTGCTATTCTGGAAAATGGAAAATCTTACAAGGATGAGAGAAAATCTTGCATTGTCACCCTTGTGATTTCTGCGTCTCATGAGGGTAACTCATCAACATCAGGGTGCTCTTTGATTTATTTTCATTACAAACTCTAATGTCACAAGACCTTAAACACTCCAGGTTTGATAGCGCCTGCATTTGAAGTTATATACTTCAAGTGTAATTGCTACTTTCATCTTTTATTTTGGTTCCGGTCAATGTCCCCTGTGGTATAGATTGTTCATAGTATTGCATGTCTTACAGAGTAAATGTAACATGACATTTGCAGTGAAAAGTAAATGACCTCCACTGCTAATATTGATATTGTAAATTAAGGTCTGGATCTTGCCAAGATTAAGTTGTGTAGCACTAACACTGTGGGGAAAGTGACAGCCAGACAGTCTGCCAGTTACTGCCTGGCTGGGTAAGTAAGCATGAGCGATCTGCTGTGCTTACCATGTCATCCACACCGAAGAGGATTGAGCCATGGAGTCAGCGATCGAATGGTTTCTATATTCGAGTTTTGATTCAGGTGGTAGTAACTGGGTGAATATGAAAAATAGGAAGGAAACTTAGACCTGCTTCTGTTTTTTGGGGCTGATGTAGATCCAGGTCACCACCTCCATATAACTAAGATTAGAGCTGCGTAAAATAGGTGGAAGAGAGAAAGTCTTGGGGTGTAGGAGGAATTACTATTTGAATAAGAACATGGGAAGTCATGACAGGGTGGGACAGAAGGGAACCACGTGCTTCAGTGCTCACTTCACTAATTATGACAGATAGACCACTTAAAATAAGATGGGAAACGACCACAGAACTTTCATGCTTTTCTCAGGAGATTTAATTGAAGAGTTGCTTATTATTTTGCAATAAATTAAACAGAGAAAATATGCTACATACCTGCTTGTTGAATACATACTTAGTAATAACACAGCTTATATAATTCTTACATAAGTAAAAATAAATCAATTTGAAGACATGTCAATTTGTATTTACATAGTACAATGTCATCATGGAGCTGCACTCACGCTTATTAGCACTTCACATATTAAAAAAAAAAGCCATTGTCTATCTTGTCTGGGCATTTCCTTGTTATGAAGAAAACTGTCAGTTGTACTTGTTTTTCTTCTGAACTTGATCATCTTTCTCCATCGCTCTCAGCTAGGAGCATGGTAGCCTGGCATTTCCTAAGAATTGGCAGTTCTTTGGGATCTAGATCTTGGTTCAATGTTCACAGTGTTATTCAAATAATAAATAGTATCCTGTCTTGGGTCTGTGGTGTATGAGAGGAGAGGATTTTTTTTTTTCTTCATGTTGCTCTCTCACTTATAACCATCTTGCCAGCTTTTATCTTGCGTTTTCTTTCCTGTGGAGCTGTTGGCATCTCCCCTAGTACTCCCCTAAAGCAGGCGTTCTCCTTGCTGGGATTCGGCCATCCAACCACCTCTGAGAAGCTCATCGCAGGATATTTGGCACAGGGTCTGCTTGGCTCTTCATTGCCTCAGCCCCTTCATTTTGAGCTGTTGGTCTGCAGCTGATTTAAAAGGTTCAGGTAGGCTTTAGATTTCAAAAATCTGGGATATGAATCCCTTTCCATGAGGATGTACACTGTTTTTTGGGCTTCATCAAAACTTGTGTGAGTTGGGTCTTGCGCCCTTTTGGCTGTTGCTTCCCTTGTGTGATAATCAATATTGATCTAGAAAGAGAAAAACAAACATCATTGACATCTTAAATTTACTTTCTTTTTCTCTCTTTATTTTGTCCTATCAGTAAATAAATTCTCAGTCTTAGCACTCAGTATGATAACTCCATCTAAGAACTGCGAAATAAGGAGACTTAAAAGTTTACATTCCAGTTGAGCACAAAAATTGCTACTCAGTATGTAAATAAATTTTCTTAGGAAATCAGAAGTAATAGGATTAAACAATAGAGTAAGTAGAAAAAACCCTCCAATTAATAGGAGAAATTTTGTGTAGAACAGAAATCTCAGGTTTGAAATATGATCAACATACAATACTTCTGAGTCTCCAAAGTGCCTCCAGATTTCAAAGGAGAAGAGAAAATCCACAGCTCTTGTACCAGCCAAACTTGCTGTAAGCACCTGACTCCAAACACCACCCGTAATTCGAACGGGGCTGACTCAGACCACTGTCATGTGCTGAGCCGCTGGCGCAGCTGCTGCTGCTGGTGTTGCTCTTGGTACTGGCCTGTGTTGTGTGACTATACTTGAGATCTGATAATCTCACAGCTAAGGCAGTAATGTGTCGGGTCAGCTCATAAGAACATGCAAACATGTTGTCTTCCTATGTAAATACATCTCGGTGAATCTACGTTTCCCTCTTCTGCTTTTCCAGAATCCTTCTGCTCTAACGCTGCACAGATCAGTTTTATAATTACCTGTTTAATAGCATCTGCCTGAACAAACTCCTCATAAATCCTCTCCGCTTTGCTATATAAGCGATCGGACTTGGTTTTCTTGTAATCCTCACAGGCCAGCCAGAACTCGATGTTCTCCTCGCTGAACTCGGACTTCAGAAACTCCCGAAAGATACCTTGACCACCTGCAGCCAACATAAATATGTCATTATAGCATGACAGCTGTGACCAGGGAGAATAAAATAAATAGTTCATAGAAGAAGTCCTGTTGAAATCTCTTATAAAATCTTGCCAAAATACATCATACCTCCCTTCAGCATCTTGCAAATACTCTAATTCCAAGGGCAATGGAGTCTTCCTATTGAAGTTCCAGGGGTTTTTAGAACTAGACCCTGGATACTAAACTATATTAATGGATTCTAGCTTCCTCTAAATGAACTGTCTTTGTATGTAATTGTATATACAATTCCAGACTAAATGGAGTTTTATGTAAGAACAAAAGTCTGATCAAACACCACTGACTTGGTATGTGTGGGTTTTTTTGGTTTTGGGTTTGTTTTTTTTTTTGCATTCTACTGGGAGTGGGAAATGGGGTGGGGAGGGGAACAAAAAAACTTGGAAACATAGCTGAATACCCTGGCCATGTTACACTGGTGCTGTGAAAAACTGAAATGCACCTGGCCGTTCTCTGGCAGTGTCTGCAGAACACTACAGCTTCATATTTTTGACCGGTTTACATAAAATTTCATCCTCAGTAAGGAAGAAGTAATATTGAGGTAATATACTTACTTTGGCTGGCCAAGAGCTTTTCCAAAGACTGGGACCACTGCATTACTTCTTCTGCAGTAAGCCTAAGTTAACAAGGAAAGGAAAAGGCTTTAGGCAAGAAACCATACGTATTTGTTTGTATACTTCAAGGAGACAAGTGTTACAGTTTGCTATTCTATTCTAGGATCATGTGTCAGGTATTTGTTAGGCTTGTGACTGACTCGCACAGAGCTGAGATCCTGAGAGTAAGCCCATGTTGAGGAGAAACAATCCAAGAATGGGGAAAAGGAGGGATCTGAGGGGTTATCCTGAATTTTGTTCCCAGAGGGGTGAGCTTCTGCTGTAACTATGACCAAATCATTTTGCGTGTGTCTGTCCTACTGTTTCCATGTTCCTGAAATATAAATGGAAATCTCTCTGGACCTCACCAAGTGCAATGCATCGCTGCTTCTAAGACATTAGAGATGGCTACAATATGCCTCTGAAGGAAATAGATATAACTGAGGAGTCTTCTCCCCCATCACTTCACACAAACATGTATGTATCACTAAGAAATAACTTTCATCTCCATGAATAGCTTCTGCTTCCTGACACTTCTTCTGTATTTTGGAAACTGACATGATGATGATACTAGAAATAATTTGTTGTTGTAGAAGTAGTTTAGAAATTAATAAAAATAAATGCAATAGTTTTACCTGGCAACCTAGCGATGGTTAGTTTTTTTGTTTGTTTGTTTTTTATAGTTTACTGTATCTCAGTACTTACCTAACATTTCTGGAGTTAGGCTTGATCCCGGATTCGAGATGTGGTACCATGCACTTCAAATAGTTTTTGAGGTCTGCACCACTGAAACCAATGAATAGACATTTGTTATATATTGGAATTGTAATTGCCTTTCAATTCTTCATGAACTCTTAAAATTTTTAAACAGAAGCAAACAGCTCCATCCTATGATTGATGTTTGGGAAGTTAGATATCAAAGTATTTGCTTTCAAAAGACTAACAGGCTCCCAGTGTATCCAAATTATTTTCCTGCTTGATTTAGAGAATCAGCTCATCGGCTTGCATCAGCTCAAGCCATTTTTATTGGTGATATAGTCTTGAACTTTGAACAGTCTTTGCAGTGAGTTAGCCTGAAAAATGGCGCTAATTCATAGTCTCCAAGTTTCCCAATGTTAGTTTCACTTCTAAGAAATTAGAATTTATACTAAGATGTATATACTTACAAAGCCTTTTGCTGCTTTTTATGGATTTTGCCTTCTGCAAGCTTGCAGTTGTCTTTTTCGTTCAATTCAGTCATGTTGTTGTGGGAAAAAAATAATCCTGGCATTATGCTCAACTTTGATATGAAATGACTTTTGCAATGGTAATCCTCCAAGCGCCAAGTGTCAGCTCACTGACTCTGCTGCTGCCTTTTATTGACGCAGGCAGCCCTGCTAGTTGGTGTGAACAGATCTGTTTATCGTATTTCCTTACCACAAACTGTGGAAGTTCCCTTTTTTTCAGTGCGGTGACGTGAGTCTTTTGAGAAAGAAAACAGCGATGTCTCGTGGTTGAGGTTAAACCGGATGAGACTGAATCGGTTTGGGTTTGTTTTGTGTGTCTGTGTGTGTTAGCAAAAAAAAAAATCCCCTCCAGAACTTTGAATTCTTGTCCCTTTCTGATTGGTGCTTGCAAATATGGAGATTTATCAAATGTGCTCCAAGTATTGCAGTTTCATCTCAACAAAAGTTCACCTGCTATACACCTGATACACCAGCTGTGTTCTGAAATCCAGTATTTTACAATTGATTTGATGGACTCAGTGGAATATCAGAAAGAAATACTTTAAGATATGCCAGTATTAAGGTTTCTTACTCAACAAGATATTTGCAAGTCAGGTATTTATCAGTTGCTGTTGAAAATGGAGTACTTTGAAGCATCTAATTTGTTTAAACACATGTGCAGTGAAAGTGTTTAAAAGTGGTTGTTGTTGGAAAGGGTTTTGAAGCTGCACTTAATGAATTTAGTTCAATTTTTCCAGGTCAGATTATTTGGAAGCCCACTGCTATGAGTCAGGGATATCTCTGTAATTTTCAGTGGATTAGCAAAGTATAAGATTGGTTTGAGTTAGAGCTGTTTGTAGAGGCAATGTGCAAATTACAGAATATTTGAGGGAAGCGTGCATTTTTCTCATATATTTGAGTTCAGCTGCAAAGGAGCCATTACAGATGCAGAGCAAGATGAAATGTTACCGGAGAGGGAGAAATTGTCTCCGTTTATCTTTCTGGGATGATGACTTAGAAGTTTAAGTACTTCATCTGGTTCCCAGACATCCCAATATCTGTAATTTCTGGGAAGCTTGAAAAATTTCATTTCATTACACAGTGCAAGCAATTCTGATCTCTCATAAAGACCTCAGGAATGATTTGTACAGAGCTGCATATGATCATGGTAACTGAGAAGCTGCTTGCAGATCTACAGTTTTGTAGCAGATTGTGGTACAGAGGACGGAGACAGAAAGCTGCTTGCAGGTTGGCGTGTATGCAAGGAGACAGGTTGGTTAAGCCTGCATCGAGATGGGTGTAGCCACAGGAGGCTAGTGGTCCTCCAAATGTTATCAGTGACATAAATCCGTCTGCACAGGCTATACGGCAGGAAACGCTTATCTCACGTTGTCAGGTAAACAGTGACCTTTGTACAGGCGGACTTATTTATTAACTGCTCCTAACCCGAAACAAGGCTAAAAAGGGAGGGAGAGATGTTATCAGCACCATATTTGTTTTCATACCTAGCATGTTGATTTTTGATGTACAATGAGACACTAAGGGGGTTGAGTTTCTTCAGGTAGTAGCTGTTTTCAGCTAGCTAATGGGAGGATTATAGAGAAGCTGGACCCAGCCTCTCCTTAGAATTGCTCAGTAAGAGGATAAGAGGCAACAGACAAGTTGCAGCAAGGGAAAAATCTTACTGATTTCCCACTGAAAAAAAATTCAGTGAGAGTGAAGCAGGTTGCCCAGAGAATATGTGCAATCTGTGTCCTTGGAAATAATCAAAACACAGACAAAGCCTTGAGCAACCTGTTCTAACTTTGAAGTTATTCCTGCTTGGCACAAGGGTTGAACTAGACGGTCTCTAGAGGTCTCTTCCAAGCTAAATTAATCTGATTCTGTTCTATAATAAGGACTTTTTTTTTTCTTGAGACGCTTGGAATTTTTTTTTATAGTAGTACAGGATTTTATAATGAATTAATCTGTAACACACCAGATGCAGTTTTTGGACATGGGCAACAAATGCTGTATTTATATATTCAAAGCGTTAGATGGATAAATGTCCTCTTTCTGCATCTGGGGTGATCTGGATATCTACATAGACATGTGTTTAGAAGCCTTATTAAATTGTTTATACTTCAAAACTGAGTGTAGATTGTATTTGGAGAGCATGGTTCAGCTCTTACAAACTACGTAGAAGGTGAGGGAGCCTGGCTGCCTGGCACAACTCTCTGTGTTTTCTAGCTGCAGGCTGGAAGTGGGGTATCACTGAACCTGTAGTTACAAGCAAGTATAAGGATGCCGCGTGGTTTGGTTCTGTGAGTCTAAGAGGGACTTGCATAGGCTTGCTTCCCTGAAAAACAAGCCAGTTTACTTGTTTGTAGCTATTATCAAGGCAGGGATAGTGACACTTCATTTACCAGTCAAAGAATGCCTGTTGCTCTGTTTGAAATGAAGTGACTAACTTTACCCTTGGGATATGTTAAACAGATCTATGCAAGTTACAGATGTAGCTTCAGACCTTCTTCTAGATCAGAATTACCTTGCTACTTCAAGGACACTGTAGGTCACATTTTTGCAATAAATATTCTCCTGAGTAAATAAGGAGCCATATTCCTGTCAGTTACATTCAGGTGACACTGCTGTTGTTCCAAACTTGAATTATGTTTTCCGGGTGTTTTATTTGGAAGAGGAAAGCAGATACATTGATAAACAGTGTGGAATCTGGAGGGTAAAATAGTTTAGTTTCACAGTGAGCTTTGGCTTTGCTATCTTACTTCACCTTCGGTTCTGACATAATGCATGAGTTACCTTGGCTTCTATCTGACATAGTTCTGTGAATCTGAAATTTTTTTCCAGCCTCATCTCTCTACAGCCTATACTACTTCTGACATCCTTTTCGGGAGATGACACATTCCTTTTCTTGATAGCGTTGTCTTGAATGTACTCAAGGATGTTTTGAAGGTAGTGGGTACTAACAGAAATAATTAGGAGGAGGTTTTTTGGCTGAATTTTCTACAGGTCAGGGGAAGTTTGGAATAGGTGGAAGGTCAAGTAGGTTCAAAAAAGTGCCTATTGGCAGAAGGATAGTATATAGCCCCTTAAAAGCTATTGCATCACTGGGCTCTGGGGTATATAATGCTCTTTGCCTTTAGCATCCTGACCCTGTCGGCCTTGGAAGGAGTCAAAAGGAGGAACAGATGGACTACTGGATGGTAGAAAGAGTAAGGGCTACCAAGCAGAGGGGAGACATGAGACCGCCTGGCATCAGCTGTCACTTTTTTTTTTTTTTCCCCCCTGTAATGGACAACTACTTTCTTCTGCTGAGTAACTCTAATCTTCAAGTCATACTCCTCTTTCTTGATGGAAAGTTTCACTGACTGATTCACTCTGTCTAGTCATGGTTATCTGTCTTTAAGACTTTGTTTGCTGAGTCCAATATAAGCTACCTTATTCCAAGAATAGGAAAAGTGTCTGCAAGACTTGGGTATGTATAGCATAAAAGTGAGCGGAAAAAGAGAAACTGTAAGAAGAATGGGGCTGACAAGAATTTTTCTGTGACTTGAATTGTGCTTTGCTTCTGTAGATCACAGGAAACCAAGCCTGTATGGAATTCCTTAAATCAGCAAACATTTTTAATTATGAAGGTAGTTATTGTACAGGACCCTGCTTTGAACAGGAGTTGAACTAATGTCTCTAGATGGAATAGATGTTGGTTCCCTCCAACCCACATGATTTTATCCTTCTGAATATATTAGATTGACATTTGTCATGTTAAAAGTGCCACTTATTCTTAAAAGAAGATTAAAGTGTATAATACCTTAAAAACTTATGTGCTTATCCATATTCAGGTTCACTACTTCAGGTTCTTGCTTCCTGTGGACAGAATTGTAGTCCAGGTGCTGGTGGGATTAAACATGATACCGTGTGGAATAGTTTGGACATGACTTTGAAAAGCCTTTCGGAGTTATTTCTGTTCTCTTTATTTGCTTTTTTTTCTTTTTTTTCCTCCTGTTTCTCCATTAGAAGGTTTAGTAATAGACCCACTTGTTTCAATTCCCGCCATCTTAATATACTGTACTTCCTGTGGAGCATGACTGTTAGCTGCTGTGTGAAATACTTTTTTAATAATTAAAGTCTCCTTTTATCTGTTGTTATCATTACAGTAAACTCCAGAAAGTGTATTTTGAGCCTAACAGTTTTAAAGGCTTATTAAAGTAACCCCATCATTTAATCTATAATCGAAGTTTGGCATCGTGTTTGTTTAACCCAGTGTGATTAAAAAGACAGAGAAGAAGGGGTTTTGGGGTGGTTTTTTTCCCCAGCAACAGTAGCATAGTTGTCTACCACTATCTGTGTTTTACTGTTTTCCAGCTCTCTTGTAGCATTGACATGAGTAATTCATCTAACATCTTAATGTACACAGAAAAGGCTTAATGTGCAAAGAAGAAACTTCCAAATACTTGCTAATATTCTACCTAATTCTGTTTTCATGAGTTCTTTCCCATTCTGTCTGGCAACCACTTGGTAGAGTGCAAGGGAGAGAATATGAGAGAATTTCCGAGATTAACTAAACTTATTCAGTGGTGTAAAGTGAAGAGTATAAAAAAGTCCCATGAACTCTACGTCCCACTTACTGGTATACATTATTTCAAGCTTCTCCTTTTTTTTCTTCTGGTCCCCCCCCCCCCCCCCCAAGCCCCTTCCATTTTTAGGTTTTATAATTCACTGTTGCTAGGCCTTATCCTCACCCGTTCTCCCTTTCAGCTCAGTTTGGTTTCTGAACATTACATTTTGGTTTAGGCAAGCTGTTAACTCCTATGCTAGGGCATGGCTAATTTTAGCTTTACTGCGCTCTTGCTGTTCATCATACGCTTCTGTGGGGTTGGCTGGCAAACCCTGTGCTGGCCTGGAGGGCTGAGCTCCTCAGCGCCCAGACTGGCAAAGCTGTCCCCGTTGAGAATATCCTCTCGCTGAGCTTTAGCCCAGCTGTGAAAACAAGTGATTTCTTTGAAATGCTACCCTCTCTTACATGACCTAAAGAGGTAAACTACTGATAATCCATCTTGTGAGCAAGAGAGGCACTTCAAGGAAACAGAAACTAGTTTCTATATGAAAGGAAATGGAGCTTATTTTTAAAAGAGTTTTTTTGCTTGTTGTTTTTTTCTCAACTATTGAGCAGTAGGGATGATATTTTGAAACTTTATAGTTGTC